ACCATCCTTAAATAAAAAACCTTACTGCAAATTCAAAAGGAAAATAGTTCATATCTTAATCGCTAAACTAGGATTATGAAGGTCAGCTAACATTTTTTATTGAATAACCAACTAAACTTAACTAAAAGATAACGATCTATATACTTAATGACAGGTTAATGAAAAAAGAAGAAACTAAAATCTTCATGTGTGTGGCTGATGCATTCATTGACGATCAACATATACTATTTATTGCTAAACAAGGAAACAAAAAGGAAGAAAAGGATTGCCACTACACGTACATGGAAATTATCTATGTATCTGGTTTGAGTGCTAGTATTATTTACTATGAGTCCCTAATCATGCATAGTTTTAAATGAAAAAGCCTTATGTTTTATTAAATAATTCACCAGTGTGTTTCGATCAATGGGTGACATCAAATATGATATATTAATAACGTTAAGCAACTAAATAGAAAGATTACCTACCAGCTGCCTCCAGTGAGAAACTGAAGCTCTAAGGACTTGGATAAATTCTGAAGAATCCATAGGATGATTCAGTTCCACAGTAACACCACCGTATTTATCATCAGTTGATGTTAGTAGGTTGATCTGTTGAACTTGATCTTCTGCGGCAGTTTCTGAGGCAATTGCAGATGAAATTGTTGAAGTTGACTTAGATAGTATAGAAAGAGTGGTTGCCGCTCCAATCTTGACTATTAAGGAAAAGTGAGAAAAAGTAACTTTAGATTATTACAATTAAGCATTCCTTATAACATGCGAACAGAATCCAGTGTAAACAAAGGATTAGCATTCCTGACAGCCAACCTTTTCCCAACTGATTGGGAAAAATATACAACCAAACTTTTACAATACCATATGTGGATGCATGAATTACTCATTTTAAATTCAAACTGAAACTTATTAAGAGTTTTGAACAGTTAAGCAGCATGAAGAAAGTAATTTTCTGAATGAGTAAATTTGTTCAATCTCCTTACTATTTTCATCATTTTTCAGTTACCTCAGCCAATGTAGAAACCGACCGACGATGACCTTTGGATAGGACAATTTTGGGAAAAAAAATCAAGAAAACCAAGTTGAAGTAATCATCCATTGGGAATGTTGCAATTTATAATCGCAAACTGACATGTACGATAGTGTTTTTCCTGAGAATATCTTTTGACTGATGTCAATAGTACATGAAGATTATATTAATGCATGTATACTTGTGTTCATGAATCAGGAGGATATTGGTGATATACTATAACAATATATCATAACAACACTCCTCATCATGATACAGGAGACCCCAAAACAATGTGCAATAGCAAGCCATGCAGTGAGGTCTACCCGGCAAATGCAGATCCAAAACGAAACCATCACGATCAGCTTGTGTGTTTGGCCTAGTTATTAGTAATATTCAATTCAGGATGTAATAATTAAATAAGATTATCACTATAGAATACTAACAATATAAAGAAAAAAAAAACAGACACGCCCATTGGAAGTTGGAACCAATGAAAAAAAGGCTAAATTTTGCCAGTGATAAACGATACCCAAAATCGAAAAGAAACAGAATTGGAAACCGGGTCAGTGTTAATCCGACAAAGCAAAAAATAATAAGGTGGTTTGGTTATTTGGTTTGAGTTGAAAACATACCTCTTGAAGTTGGTCTTCTCCCTTGAGATGTGAAACGCTGAGCACTTGTAAGATAACGAGGATTCCTAGCTGAGGAAAAGAGGAGTGAGAGCTTGGGCAGTGATCTGAGCATGTTGTTAATGTGCGACAGTGAATCCAAACTCACAACCACAGAGAATACGTTATGGTAACATATGTCTGCTTAATTAATTATTGGGTTTAGCAGGACAAGTAATGAAGCTGCGAATACGTAAGGATCTGAAATTACTAAATCAAAGTTTGCGTCAAAAATTAATGGAGTCAGATTGGCGTGTTATTTGTGTTTGTGAGAAGAAAATTCAAAATTGAAACCAAAAAGGCATTCGAAATAGCAGAATCTCCATGGAAGGAAGGAAAGCGGTGGAGAAGTTGACACGCAAGCATGGGATACCCTCGCCGTACAAATCAAAAGATCACACCCGTAATTCAGTTTGAGAGCTCACTTTTTGTTTTTTTTTTTTTTTTGTGTAAATTACAATTCTGTTTTCTCCAGTTATATTTTTTTAGTTCATAAATTTTAAACATTTTCATATTTTCAATTATTGGTTTATGATAATCTTTTAATGTGATTAATTATATAATTTTAATAGCATTTTAACTGAATATGTTAAGTTTGGGATTCCGTTGAAGTATATACTAAATCAAAGTTATGAATTTTAAAAATCTATTTATTAAAAATAAATAAAATTGGGATTAAGAAATAAAAGAGAATCATTGCAATATAATTATATAATATAATAATGTTATTATTATATATTCAACTTTTAGTCAATATTTTTATTAGGAATCGGTAAAAGAAACTACAATACTAAAATCAAGTTCTTTTTTTACATTCAAAGGTTAAATTAAAGAATGGTGGTTTAGTTACATGTTATTTTTAGAAGAAATTGAATAAATAAATGGATACCTTTTAAAATATTTTTAGGTGTATATATTTCTATTTATATTAATTATGAGATTATTTATGCTTTAAAATAGATTAGAATTTGTGATTAATCTGTCACAGTGGATTTGAGTCGGGTTGAATTTGAAAAATATATAATTATTTTATACGAGTGAATTTTCAATCCGGCTCACTTAGAACCTCTTCACTTGGGTTGAATTGTGAGCCATAATTTATTATTTTGTGTTTCAATATCATTAGTTAACACTTATTATTCTATATTCTATTATAGATGGAGATAAAGATGTTTCAAGAAAACAAAATATTATGAATTTATTCATCTAAGACTCTAATATTATGAATGGATAAGTGACACTAAAAAAATCCATATTAAAAATTTATTTGTTCGTTTTTTGTAGTATTGTATGATACTTTTTTTAGTTTAATATCATTTTAGTGTGAAATTTATTTATATTTGAATTACAAAATTTGTAATTTTTCTTAAATTTGAAAAAAAAAATCTTATAATTAAATGAGTTAGTGAATTATCCCGTTTAACCCACCAATCCATTGTGAGCTGGATTATATTCAAATTTTTATGTACTTGCTAATAAATAAGTTAGATTGAGTTGATTTACTAAGTGATCAACCTGTGATGGGTCATATCGAATCAAATTGAGTTACCTGTTTTGACAACACTGCTCTGGAGTATGTTTGCATATATTTTGTAAGAAAATTATTTTAATAATAAATTAATTAATTTGACTTTTTTCAAAAAAAAAATTAAATGGTTTAGTGTTTTATTTAATATATATTATTTTATATTTCTTTTCATGATAGTTAAAATTTATTTTTAATTTGTGAAGTATAATTTTTTTTATAATAAGTTTCGTGTGTTCTTCTTTTGTTTTCATTTTTTTATTTTAGTAAAGTTTCATGTGTATGTCTTCATTTTTGTAACAATATGAATGCAATGAAGCCGATGAAGATGATAAAATTGGTAATGTTGACGTAAATGAATAGTATAATGGTGTGGAGGTTGCAGAGTTTAGATTAGTGGTGTGTGAAGGGAAGAAAGAAGAAGATAAAAGGAAGGTGTAGGAAAGGAAACAGAGATGAAGTGGACACGAAGGAAAACGAGACGAAAAATGAAAAAAAGAAAAACAAAATAAATAAAAATTCAAGATGCTAGTAAATAAACCAAATAGATTGCAAGATTATAAACAAAAGCAGAACGTAATTAAGAAAAAGAAACATTAAAAAGCAATTTAATATTTGCCAAAGTAATAATTACTTGTTTTATATGAATCTGAACCTAACATCCATTTGTATGTAACTATGAGCTTGTGATTCAACCTCTAAAATAATTTCTATAAGCACTTCTTCCACAACTACATAAACGTAGCGAAAACTTTGTAATCAATTTTTTGATATAATTTTATTGTGAACGCATATGGTAAAATTATGGAGTTATAACACAACCTTATTCAGCAAAAAATCGGTTAATTTTTCACATTTAATATCCAATTATATCTTGAATTACTTTCTGTATACAATAAAATAGGTAAGATAAAAAAGGAAAAAACTCAGTTTAGTATGATGAAAACCTATCATTTTCCATTAATGAAGAGTTTTACGGGGATAACAAATAAAGGACCCCAATTTACAAAGCAGTCTTATTTTAAAATAGGCTAATTTTTTAAACTACAAGGCCAAATAGAAATATCTTTAGCCGACATCTTTCTACCGACACAAGATTTGAAATTCAACTGAAGTCTCCGGTTTTTACTATAATCCAAATATATAAACTGTGCACTAAATATTTAACTAGCAGTGAAAATATTATTATAATCTTTTTCTTCAACAAGCATGCTTTTATTTCAATTAAAAAGGACAAGAAGTGGAATGTGTGTCTTGCATTATTTAATTCTCATCGGTGAATCAGACATTAGACGTAGCTAAAATAAGACAACATTTTGGGCACATTAGAAGTTACAACATGGGCATGTGGTTCATTTCACTTCTTCTTAGTTATATTCTAATTTACCAACAGAGTAACGCAGTAGTCATTTTACTTACCAACGAATAACCATTCTCCTTCACTTTTCACCTCTTCTCAAAACCCTCGCGCCGCTATTTTTTTCCCTTTTTTTTTTTTTACCATTTTATGGACCTCTTCGCCGCCGATCACTTCCCCGTCCCCGACCACGTCGCTCCATTTCCCGATTCCGGCGACCTTCTATTCCCTGCCAACCTCCTCTCCCACCGCCACAACCCCCAGAAGCTCTGCCTCATCCGGTCCCTTCCCTCCGCTCTCAATGCCCACCCTCGTCCGCCCGATCCGATTGCCTCCGGGTCGGGTCACACCCCGAGCCAAGAATCTGAGTGAGTCCGTTTCTCTTCTCCCATCTCCACCTCTGCTTTTCTCCTCTTTTTTTTTATCTAATCAATTATTAAAAGATCCCCTTTTCTCTCTTCCGTTATTTTTAATTATTAATTCGATTTGAATTTGTGTGTCTTTATCTTTTATTTTTATGCTTATATTATATCCTGTCTTTGCTGAATGGGGGCGGAACGTACAACCAATAAAGTGATTTCCTTTTCTATTATTTTAGTTAATTGAAAAAAGATTGTGATTGGCGGTGGTTGCAGAGTGTGTTGCTTTTTTTTTATGAGTGTTTGCGATGAGGTGTTAGGCACGAACTTGTTCTCAGAATATGTTGCATTGCAGTGTTGTCCATTTGATGCTATGAGCTCTGTGTTGCGTCTTTATGAGAGAGAAAGAGACTGAGCCCACAACTTGGTACTATTATACATCATTCTTTTCTGATTCGAGAATGCTTTGGTTTGTAGCAGTGTGCTTTTGGTGGATGAAAAGAAATGCATTGTACGGTGTATTATTATTTTTATAGTTGGGTCAAGAGTTATGTTTTATCTGCACACAAGTATTTTTAGTATATAGAATGTTCTGTGTGGTAATTGAAAAACAAGGTCTTGTTGGAATGAAACCATTTTCCCGAATGATTTAGCAACCCCAACTATTGATAATTTGTTACCCTTTATTTACTAACGCGAGGTGAGTCTGGTGAAAGGGTTAATCTTTTGTTACATGAAAAATCAAGGTTCAGAATTTTACCAAAAGAGGTGTGTTTCATTTAGTACCCGAGAGTGTTTCGAACAAGATTCACTCTGACACATGTGTGAAATCAAAACAGTCTTTCTTGACAGGTTTAAGATTGGTTTGGACTGCTCTTTTTGATTTGTTCTTCCTTGTTTCAGCTCGGCTTTGGATGCGGAGGATGAAGAGGAGAATGATGACAATTCATCAGCAAGCCCTGAAGGAAATGGCCCTAGAAAGAGGAGAAGAAAGACGGTGAGAAAGCTTGAAGGTTTTGTGAAGAATTTGGTGACAAAGGTGATGGAGAAGCAGGAACAGATGCACAAACAGTTGGTGGAAATCATAGAAAAGAAGGAAAGGGAAAGGATAAAGAGAGAAGAAGCTTGGAAGAATGAGGAGATGGAGAGAATTAGAAAAGAGGAAGAGGCTAGAGCTGAAGAAAAGTCTCGCAGTTTGGCCCTCATATCCTTCATTCAGAATCTGTTGGGCCACGAAATTCAAATCCCCCAAGCAGTAGAAGCATGCAGCAAAAGAGAAGAGGGTGAAGTTGAAGTGAATGCTCATAAAGAATTTAATAGTGATCATAGTAAGAGTAGATGGCCAGATGTTGAAGTGCAATCACTTATCACAGTGAGAACTTCATTGGAGCACAAGTTCCGTTTCATGGGATCGAAAGGGTCAATTTGGGAGGAGATATCTGAAGCAATGTATGCATTGGGCTATAATCGGTCTGCAAAGAAGTGTAAGGAGAAGTGGGAAAACATCAACAAATACTATAAAAGGACAATAGGGAGTGGCAAGAAGAGGCGTCAAAATAGTAAAAGCTGCCCTTATTTTGATGAGTTGGACATTCTGTATAGAAACGGCCTCCTAAGTATTGGAAATGCCTTGAGCAATACCACTGATGCTCCCCAGATTGAACAAAAGGAGTAGAGTGAAATTTCAATACTACTTCATAGTCATAGATACGGCTTATGTATAACTTCTTTCACTTCAGTATTTATTTAGCCATTCTTCTTTTTAGTCGACAATATACAATCCTTTAACTCTGCTCTTAAAATTTTAAATATGAAGCTCATTGGAGTTGCGTTGAAATTGGAGTTTCAAAACAGTATTCCACAGATATACTTTTAATATCAGCAAAGCTGGTTTTCCGCATACTTTTTCATAATTGCAAGTTGTTAATCTTGATCTCAAAAACAGTAGAAAAATTGACAGAGTACTGTTATATGATTTCTCCTTCATTATAAAGCTGTATAAACTATAAGGTGAAGATTTTCAATGAGTTTTCACGGGATAAACTCTTGTTGATTAAACAAGTTTATTTTTTTCTGTTTCTCAATGTGTGACAAATTACGTTTTAAAAGTAACATTTTGCCAGATTTAACACGAGGAGGTCGCAATGGACTAAAATTTAAACTTGTATATTGATTTTTATAATATGTTGTGTTGTGTTGCGTCAAATGATTTAAAATTTATTGTTTCTTACTTCTAGTAGTTGTATATTGTTTATGGACTTAGTAGGATATTATTATGTAAATAAATGCTGAAAGAATCTGAAACTTTTGCATATCTAAAGTGATCAATTTAAGCCATAGACTTTGCAGAACTAACGTGATTAGCAAGAATTAAAGTTCATTTTTAATGTGGATTATGTGGACATGTTTGTTACATAATGGAGATTTATGCCACGCTTAAACTAATTATCCACCTATCTAACTCTTATCGTGAGATAAAATTATTTAGTTCAGAGTGTACAAAATTACACTTATATTTATTATTAAAACGTTGAAGGATTTAAATAAGTTATTTTCAACTTTTTTTTACACATTTTTTTATTAATTGATTTGATTTTTATAGAATTAAATATGTTTTCATCTTTGTCTCAGTTAAAACTAGAATTAATTTTTATTCAAAATTTTGACCCAGTTTAATATCTCAATTTTAAAACATGTAAAATTTAATTTTTTTAATCAAATTTTGTTAAACTTATTTAAATTTTAAATGCATTAATAAAAAGATACATTTAAAATACTATATAAATTTAATAAAATTAAGTTAAAAAAACTAAATCACGTATTTACATAATTTTGAGGGAATAAATTAGGCTAAAGTTTCAAATCATAACTAATTTCATTTTTCATTCTCAAGTAAAAATGTATTTAACCAATTTTTATAATATAAATAAATTTTATATATTTGTCATTTAAACATAGCATAAGCCATAGAGCTGAACTTTCCTCCTTATGTAAAAATATTACTATGATAGGATTGTAAAGAAATGTTTTCAACTTAAATAAATTTATGCTAAATTAAACTGTATAAAAAAAACTATTTTAAATAAAAATTACGTATCCTAAACTGTTATATTAATTTGGTTCTTAAAAATAGTGTTGTCTGAGTTTGTAATCTGCAAGCTAATCCAATTTATTACGGGTTTGAGTCGGGTTGGATTTGAAAAGAATATAATTGTTTTTATGTGGACTAGTTTTCAATCTGACTCACTTAGAACCCAGCTTACCCGGATTGAACCCATGGTGAACTAGGTTGACTCACCAGGGTTGAACCATGGCGAATTGGATTGACTCACCAATCCACCTAATTTAATTTAATTATTTATTATTTTGTGTTTCAATATTATTACTTAGTTTTTTTTATTATATTGTAGATGAGATAAAAAAAAAGATGTTTCAAAAGAGAAAAATATTATAGATTTATTTATTCAAGATTTTAATATTATAAATGGACAAGTGATACAAAAATTATCAATATTAAAAATTTTGTTTGCGTTTTGTGCTTGTTTTTGGATTAAGCTTGGATTGTATGATATATATTTTTTATTTTGAATTGTCTTTGGAGTTTAACATCATTTTAGAGTGAAATTTTTTTAGATTTAAATTAAAAAAATATATAATTTTTTTCTATTTTAAAGAAAACTTATAATTAAGTGAGTTAGTGAGCCAACCCGTTTAACCCACTAACCCGTGGTGGATCGAGCCGGATTCAAAAAAATTTCAGCTCGCTAATAAATGAACTGGATTGGGTTGACTCACTAAGTAACAAACTTGTGGTGGACCGAGCCGGATTATCCGTTTTGACAGTTCTACTTAAAAAAATAAGGGTTAAATATGTTTTTAGTCCCTGAACTATCAAGCGTTTTTATTTTTCGT